TGTTCGCACATTTTCAAACAGCCCGGGTATATGAGCAGCGAGTACACTTTTTTTCGAGTAATTTGAGCAAAGTTTTTTTATTATATTGACATTTTTGGTAGCAACTTCTTAAATTTTTCAAATTATTGATATATAATGCAAAGATTGTTACATTGGTATTTAATAATATAATTTATTTAACATGAATTAGAAAGCAGCTGCTGACAAATACAATTTACAAATTTTCCTTTGTTTATGAAATTGTTCAAAAAACTCGAAAATTTTAAACAAATATTTGAGCAGTTGAACAATGAACGAGTTTCGAGCGAGTGTCGAGCTATTCGCATTGCTCGATAACCGGGTATCTAGAGCTCTAATACTTATTTCTTCAAGAAAATTTTCAAGGGGTTTGAACCCCAAAAGTGACCCCTTGTGTGCGCTAATGATCTGAGTCAAATCGCTCTATGAGTCAGTATAAACAAGGTAGGAATCTGAGGCGTAAGTACATACATAAAAAGGTTAAGGTACTCACGGTATCCGGAAGAAGTTACCAGCCACATATGATGCATGTTTCCACTACAACGAAATCCGCCGCAGGACGGTGGCTTCTTCTCAGCCTTTACGTTTCCAACAAAGCACGTTCGGATCAATAACAGTGGCTGTTAGGAAAACCGAAAGCATTAGAGGAACGTGAAAACAAAAATTAAAATAAAACAAGAATAAAGAATACCAATACTAAGCCCTTGGTATTTCCGGCAGCGCCGTTGCTGTAAGTGATGCATCCAATGCGCTAGATGTATGCGGTCGTGTTTTTAATGGTGCAGCTTGAGCAGCAGGGCCGTTGCTGATTTGACTAGGCGCCAAATCATCGCATGATTGCTTTTTTCTTTGCGCTGGTGGTGTAACAGCAAATAAGGAATCACACTCATCAAACTAGAGTAAGTTTTTCTGTTCCTTTGTGCCCAATAAAGGATTTGTATGGAATAGGTAGAGAAAGTACTTTAAGAAGCATGAAAATGCTCCAAGTCCCGATAGCGCAGCCGCCAAATATTCTACATAGTACCATTTGGAGTATGAATATGGACACTGATTAGATATGTCGAAAAGCAGTATCGCTAGCAACA